CCCCCCCCCCCCCCCCCCGCCACCCGAATAGAAAAAAAAAATGTAACGCTACGGGAAGAACCACGTCATAATTTGAAGCATAAGTGTCTTGGGTAGTGGCAATATGACAGTACTTGATATGCACTCCGATTCCTATTGGTAGCAACCCGCTTGGGTATACATACAAGAGCTTTGTATAAATATATAAGTATAAACATATATAAACATGTACATATATATCGTTCTTTCTTACTCTGATATATTGATTGCTATAGTCATCTAGTATTAGTCTCTGTATACAGATTATGTATGTATCCATCATCACCGACCCACATAATGATCCTTACTTGCTCTCTAGTCGCACTACTAGTATCTGCACATATCTATCCGTCTTCGGTTTGGCTAAAAAATAATAAAAAAAGAGAGAGAGAGAAAAAGAAAAGAAAAGAAAAAATACCCCCGATACTTGCTATCCTTGCTAGCACCTTGTGTGTTCATGCTTCTTCTTCTATTCCTTCATGTAGGCTAGTAACGCTGCACAGCGCTACGTATATTAACTACTAGGGTGGTGGGGATTGGTCAACTATCCATACCATCATTTCATGCGATACTCGTAGCCGATGTCATATCCATTTTAGGCTCACAGCTGACATCCGCCAAAGGGAGAGGGGGGGGGGGGGGACGTTTGGGCATGGGACGAAAATGGCAGCTGAATTGTCTACGCAGAGAAGTTGAAGAGTGCAATATGAATCGATTGCTACGGTAGTGGTAGCCACGGAACATTTACCAGCAGCATCCTGTTTCAAAAAAAAAGAAAAAAAGAAAAGACATGTAAATCTAAGTTGGAGCATGGAATTGTAGAATGTTATCTTCCAACAGATAAAAGTGCATACCGTCTTGAGATCTTCATCGGTAGAGAGGGTAGAGGTGATGGACAAGAAAAAAAAAGAAGAAAAAAAAAAAAGGTCTACCTCGGTTTCTTTGGTGAGGGCATGAAGAGGGGTAAGATAAACAACTTGCTGCACTCCGTAAGCAACCGGCAGCTATCGATATCATCATGGACAGACAGGAGACAGATTTGGGAAGAGAAAGTAGCCGAATCGACCAGTCTCGTTCCTGTCCATCCTCGCACACGAGTATCGAATCTCCCGAGATGGAGAGTCGAGTCTGGCTCAACAGCCTCGCCCTCTTGCCTCGTCTCTACGTCGAGTACAGGTCGGCGGCGATGGATAATATTCCCTTTCCCCTCCTGTAGCGACAGGCAGACCGAGATCCTGTCGGATGTCGTGGAAGAGACGACCGGCTAGATCAGCTGCTATCCGTACTGCGGTGTTATAAATAACCACGATAAAAAACAGAGAATACGATAAAATCCTCAATAAAATGACTCTACCCACACTCTCTTATTTAGAGGCACGTCATGTTTACGACCACTCCGTTACCCGTATCTACACACCTCGGTACAGTCTTGTTGGTGCGAGCATCGGTCTTTTTCTATCCGCCGGCGCGAAGCTGGGACAGAGACGGGCTTCATCTCGCGGATGTCCGTATTCCGTGTAGGGCATTGCTATAACCCGGCCTGCCAGTTGTTATGCGGCACGCGTGTATCTGTTCTCCGGAAAGACAGGACAGCTAGCGCCCCAACAAACGGGAGCTGCGAGCCGTCAATTTCCATCCCTTGGACATGGGGGGATCCTCTAGGAAACCGTCAATGTATGCACTCCCTACTCCGTACTCGTACCTGTATTATTGCATGCCCTGACTGGCCCAACCCTGCCACCCATGCCATCTGTGCCCGGTGCCTACCGACGGCGACGATGGAAATGAACCCAGCAGACAAGGGGGCAGACCAAGTCGGTGAAAGGGTGCCCTGGTCATACCTGCATACCGCGCCTGGTTAGCGGGGGCAGATGGGATCCGAGTCGACTAGGCCAAGTGAGAAAAATCGGAAAACTGAATGATAGACTCCTCGTCCGCGGGCCCCGAGCAGCAGGTTCGGAGTGGAAGGGGCCGAAGGGAAGGTCTCCGGCCTCCAAGGCCCAAGGCCGAGGGGATACTACATGTATTCCTGATTCTCTGGTTAGCTGGTCTGCTGGTTTCATGGAGCCGTGTTGGAGGAAACTAGCCCACCTGGGCACCGCATCAACCTTCCCCCCCCCCCCGCTGCCCGCTGCACGTGCTGGTGGAGCAGGCAGAGTTTGCAACCAACCGTGTTTGAACGGTGTCTGGAACAAACGAACGTTGTACCTGTGATCAAACTGTAAGTACATGGGATGGACAGGTTGCAGACCTGCATCTTCAGCAGTCCCGAGTACAGGTAGCGGGCAGCACTGCAGCAGTACCAGTGCCGCAGCGAAGAAATAGCAGTACGATGAACCCTTGCTACTTCTGTCAATAGTCGTTGCAGGGTGAAACCTCTTGGCAGGCTACATGTAGACCAGCGACTCTGCCACCGGCTTTTCTGCTTCTGCTACTGGGTTTGCTGCTCTTGTTGCTGCTATTACCGCGCGCGTACGACGCACTCGTACGAGTGCTCGTAGCTGTACCCATGATACCCATGACTTGCCCGCACAGCACACCACGCAGTACTGTGAGCACGGCGCACGAGATTACTACTTCTGGGCACAGCAGGAAAACGGGGTACGTGCTGAGTACCGTTGCTTCCGCGAGATACCCGAGCTCGATGAAGGTCGCCACCGTCGTCGTGGTCGCGGTGCCTACCGGATGCCTTGTGCTGCATACCAGCTGCTCGTACGTCGTAATACCGTACTCGTCGCTTGGAGCCTGTTTCCACTACCGAGCCGAGAAATCTTGTCGGTAGAAACCCCCGGGCTCCCGGGCTTGGCCTTGGCATCCCGAAGTCACCTCATGCTGTCTCGCCTTACGGCAGGTCCCGAATGTTCCTCCCCCGTACCAGACCAACGGTTTTTTTCGGGGCCAGATCGTTGGCAGCAGCAGGAGTAAGTAGTTGCTCGTAGCGTGCCACCGGTCGATGTGAATCCGTCGTACGACATACATCGCCGCCTTTGCTCTCGTGCCGAGGGATAGTCTCGCTGAACCTCCCCCCCCCTCTTCTTTTCGATTGAGCACTCGATGCTAGCCAGTACAGTCGACAGGGTCAGGATTAAGAGCAGGCGTGTCATAAATCACCAGGGCGATTATGCACAGAGGAAGACGAGAATGCGTGCTTTCTTCTATCGGCTGAAATACTCCGTAACGTGAAAGCGGGTGTGAGAGATGACAGAGAGATGACAGGAAGGAGAAATCGAGGGAGGGCAAGGACGAGAGAAGCGGGGAGACCGATTGCACCTTCCGTTCTCGTTGTCTAGTCGTTCTTTCCTCGCATGAACTGAAGCATAACGCTTGCTTAGAAAGCAACGCGGTGCCTTGTGTGCCAGGCATGGCTTCTCGTAGCAGCATACTAATACATGTTACTCGTCGTAGTATGCTTCTTAGTCTTATTCTTTTTTTTTTTTTTTTTCCCGCGAAGCAATCTTGAATCCAGGATCCATGACCGCCATCCCTGCTCCTCGGCTGCTCCTTGTGCATTGGTGTCCGAACCGCCCCGCATCCCCCCCTGCTTGGCGCATCGTCATTTTCTCTACCTACACCATCAGCACGGTCGCTGCTGTCACTCTTTTTCTCAACTCTGACGCGCCATACTACTTGTATGTGAGAGTACACATAGACACCAATGGAGGAGAGAGCGAGAGCGAGAGGCTGACAGACTTCCAAACTTTCCCCTTTCGCTCTTGGACCAGTGTATGACCGCGTCTCTCAAACACATGGGTTCTCCCGCATGTCTACGTGGTGCAAAGGGCGCTTCCACTACTAAGAAACCTGAAAATGGGAGTCTCCCCCCCCCATGATGCTGTGTACAGAGCGCGGAATGTCCCTTTGCGGTATGTTCCTCCTTTCCCCCTCCCCACCACAGCGACCCCTTTGTGCTCCACCGACACCACCACCACCTCCACCTTTGTTCTTGACCGTCTATCCCGTCTCTGTTTTTCTCTCTCTCTTCTCTAGCCCCGGAACTCACATCTCAAATAAGGCAAATACGTACTAATATTAGAGGCCATGAAGCTCGAGCCATGCCCCTCTTCACTTACACGCACATACCGGAACCCAACAAACCCCCTCTCGGCCTACGAGCACTCAGCAGTCGAGCACTCATCCGTTTCGTGGCCCCACGACGGTGCTCGAGACACGCTGGTCCTCGGTCATGCCAAACAGACGAGACTGCCCTGACTTTGGAACCGATCCTGCGGTATTACTGAGCAGCTTTGTTTCATGCTATCCCGTCGGTCTTTCCATCTGCAATGTCCGTGGTACGCACATGAGCGAGCCATCTTTACCGTGGCCAAGGTCCCGTCCCAGGAGGGACGGAGAGGGATTGGATGGTATGCGTATGCAGCCGTCTTCATACACTCGACCCATGTCACTACCCGCTGCCTCCTCTTTTCTTTTTCTGCCTGGCCATGCCTGCCGCATGGCTGACCAGGTCTCCTCCAATGACCGACGTCTTGGATATTAACCCGTTCAGACGGAGTTTAGGCGTGCATAGTTACGTTGACACTCTACGCCAGTGGGGACACATCTGTACGAGCGTCATACCTGTCGGTATGACAAGCAGTGTGGGAAACCTTCGATCGTACTAGCCATCGAAAGAGAAAAAAGAAGAAGGAACAGTCAGAGGAAGTGGGCAGACGGAAAGCCAGGCCATCGTTGCCACATGGTGTTGGGTGTGTGTCCTGGTCAGGTCCCTCCCAGCCTCTTGTGCCCACAGGCCACACCAGAGTCGGCCTCCAACATCATCTTCCCCCCCTAGTCAATGATTCTTATATTAGTAACTGTATCAATCATGATCCGGCCACCATAGAACAACGTTTCTACCGTTGGCCATCTCCTCATCAGCTGTCGCCACTGGGCCGTTTCGTTCCCCTTCCCTCCCCCTCCCAATCTCCAGGCTCGCCGTCCTTCTCGCACCGTTACGGCATAGGTGCCAGCCCTTCCTTCGTCGCTTGTTTCTACTTGCATTTCAACCCCACTCTCTACCGGGGTATTCTCCATCTACCTATTTTACCTCCGTCAGAACGCCGGGGCCCAGTTGACACGCGGGACGTTACAACCCTCCCATCTTCTTCTTATCACAGGACACCCTGCTAGTTTGTCCAAGGCCCCCTCCTACACCATCCCTCCCAGCATCCTGGGTCTTCGAGAGGTGACTATCACGGCCTTATACGACTCCCGCTCCGCCTGCCGTCTGTTTCCTAGAACTACTTCACATGCCTAGGATCGGAGGTTTGCCACGAAGCTTCTCGTTCCAATACCTCTCATCCTGCCGAGTCTTGGAGGCTCTTCGTTACTCCGGCGCAACTTGGGAACCTGACGACCACTTGCCGATCTCCTCCTTGGCATAGACGGCACTGACTAGAACGAGTGCGACTTATACTACATCAAACAGGTTTGGCACTACACCTCTAACGGCCGCGGTCCGAACAACTCCTCTTCTGCTGAGCTGGTCGCCTGTCAACTCCTCATAAGACCTCGGACGCCTCTGGTGTTTCTCTTGCGAGAATATCGTCGATACCCCTTGCCCTCCCACTTGCGGCCTCTTGCCCCCTCCCTATTACGATCTTTTTGCCAACCGTGAAACTTCAAAACTCTCTCGGGACACGCAGTGGGGGCTCGGCAGGCACAATTCATTCCCAAGACCCGGACAGACAGCCCCGTCGCGGATAGATTTGGAACCGACAGCCTGACTTGGTTATCAGCTGGCGACATTCCCTCGTACCGAGCCGGAAAGCGAAGGAAACAGTCTATACAAGATTGCGGGAACATCGCGAGAGAAGGACAAGTCCGCCACACCTCGCCTTCTTCCTCCCGACGTTGGCGACAGCTTATGGCATCGCGGAGCACGACCAGCCACTTTCCGCAACGCAACGGCTTCTCCTGAGAGGCTGCCTTCCCCGAACGTGAGACTGATTCGGCTCTCTTCTGCCGGATCGTAGAAACGTGGAGTTTAGGGTTCACCATGGTAAACCTGATTGGACACTTCTCTCTCACATATCCTTCATTACAGAAGCCTTGCCCTACACAGCTTCGAAGCGCTATCGAGAAGTACCTTTCAGCAGACAAGTCAAACTCAGCAGGCCTTCACATACAAGGCAAGCCAATCACTCGCCGATACCGAAGAGAATACGCAGGAGAGCAGCGTTCCCCCCAAGGACTTGACAGTCGTCTTTGAGCTCGTCGATCTGAGAGGCATCGTCTTTAGCTATTTCCTTGCACGATCGGCGACATGTCCGAATCCTGGTCGGACAACAGTGCCCTGGAGGACGATCATGGGGTAGATTATGTGGATGAGGGAGACGTCGGTCATGGATCAGACTCCACGGTATCGGCCGGTTGCGCTTCTTCCAGCGCGAAGACGAGGCGCTTCAGGTAACCTCTCACCCTTTCCCCCCTCCAACTCGAAAGCAAGTCATACCGGGACAACGGCTAAGTGAGGAGCAGACTCACCCACCAGCAAACAAGGTTCCTCATGAGCGAATTTGTCAAGCAACCACATCCGGATGCCGCCCATCGCGAGAGGCTTTCCATGGAGATACCGGGCTTGAGCCCCCGACAGGTCCAGGTCTGGTTCCAGAACAGGTAAGAAGAAGAGGCCCTTTGACCTTTTTGTCACTCAACAGTATCGAATGGGGAGTCCCCAGAAAACGCATGACAGGCTGACAGGTTGCTCTTCCATATATCCAGGCGAGCCAAGATCAAGAGACTCAATGTCGAGGATCGCGACCAGGTGCTCAAGATGAGAACAGTCCCAGCCGGCTTTGATAACGTCCAGGCCCTACACTCCCCGTACGGTGCCTTTCCCGGACTCGGGTCACGCATGTCACACACGAGCGAGCCGGGAAGTCAGAGGATCGGAGACCATGACCCGTTGACGGCCGATGCACGCATTTCGGACCGGGATGACAAGTCCTCGGCTTCGGTCCCTACCCCTGGCTACGAGCGCGCCAGCTTCCACTTCCCTCCTCCCGGGAGGAGCACGACTATTCCGACTGATTATACGACCTCGGCCGACGTCGGTTACGGCCCTTCGTACGGGGGACAGATGTCGCCCCTCGTGGGTGGCGCGAGTCCATATCCCGCCAACAGGCCCATGTTCAACAGCCCGTCTTCGATAGGACGGCAGCTGACAGGGTCACCCCAGCCCATGAACCCCAGCGAGTCCTTTTCGAGGAATAGGGTTGGATCAGATAACCCCACCGTCGTTCCATGGAAGCCGGATACAGTCGAATATCCGGGCTACCCGACACCACACGGCCGTTCAGCGACACAACCGCTCTACCGCACAGCCTCGCACCCAAACCTCGGCATCGGAGTGTACAATGCGGGAAACTATCAGGGTAAGTGAAGATGGGCGGCCGTCAAGGCGGTTTCCAGTCACTGGAGCTTACTGACCTCATGTCAAGATCCATCCATGCAACCCCCCGTGGTCGATGTGCAGCAGCAGCAGCAGCAACGCCCGCCACCCGACTCGGACGGCTCGAGACGCTTCCCCCCGATGCCGCTAAACATGGACATGCGAGATCACCAGTACAGAATGGGCTCGCACGAGCCCAGCCCCCTCAGTCAGGGACAGGGCCAGTACCCCCGACCGACGAGCTACCACCACACGGCCACATACCCGCCCGCACCGCTGACGGCCCCCGGCGGCTCATTTTCCCACCAGGTAGGGGGGAGCGGTAGCGAGGCAGCGGCAATGGTACCAGGTGGGTACCCGGATAACAGCACGCAGTATCCTGCTACAGCGGTCTCGAGCGAGTTCCCCAGGTCTGTGTATGGCGCGGTACCGCTGCCTCCTAGACGAGCCGACAGCTTTGGCGACAAGAGACATGAGCGATTTTGACCATGGCCAGGGCGATGAATTCTCATATTGATTTTGATTTTGACTACCCATCTTGTATTGTTCCTACACCTTGTACTCACACTCTTCTCTGCCTATATCTATCTCTCAAATTTTTCTTCCCCAAAAAGCACGGGCATCTACATAGTTTTCACCCCCCCCCCCCCCCCCCTCTTCTCTCCACTAGGGAGCCCTGGATTCTGAAATGTGACCAACGATCTCCCTTTCTCTATCCCTGTGTTATTTATACTCTTTTTTTCTGTCCTGGATATTCCATGGTTGGTGTGGGCTCTGGTGTGAAGAGTGTACGGAAGACTTGTTCTGTCCTGAGTCACTGATAAAGAATTCTGTTTGCTTCTCTGTATTGTTTCCCATCTTGTGTACCATATCTTTAGAAACTTGGCCCCCATCTGTGCGGAAGGACATTTATACATTCATAGGATGTGGCCATGGTGAATTGTGCTTTGGTGTAGAGCATACATGTGTGTCTATATGTGTGTGTGTGTTGGGGAGGGTGGTGGAGTTTCACTGTTGCTTCTTTTTGATCGTTTTGTTCACCAAAACATAGATGTGTCTGTATACAGAAGGACAGGGGAGACGCCATGAAGATGAACATACAGAGAAGAAAGATTCCCGTGGTGAGATATCAGCGTATCTGTCTGATGAAGGTGACAATATCGACAGGTGATGGGGCCTACGCAATGGTTAGCGACTTGACCGAAGACGAGAAATATCCTATGAGAAAAGGGCTTTTTTCCCATCCGTCTCAGACATTGTGCCTGATCTTCCTCATGTGTCCGAGTGGTTAGCAGGGCCTCTTGGCTGGCTCTCTTCTTCACGGAGAGGAGGAGTACAACGCAAGACACCTCTGCCAACGACGACCAGGGGACGAGCAGGTAGGTTTACCAGATGTACAGGTGTCATCATTGTGGAAGGTAGAAGGGACAGAAGAGGAGAGTGGGATGTAGGACTGACTTACTGAGGGGTGTCATGGCCATGAATGGGCACGTCTATGGATATTTGCTGGCGGTGACACACACACGCACACACACACGCACAAAGTAGAGATACCTCAGTCACCGAGACGGGTAGCTACGTGATGGGAGGAGGTTCGTGACAGGCAAAATAGAGATACATGGAGACATCAAGGACGGAGATGGGACTGGACTGGTACAGCAGGACCGGGACTATAATGTATATATAAGAAGATCAGGAAGAATGAGAAGGAGCAAAGAAAGGTATCGAATGTTACTTGCATCAGGTCATCACCGCATCATGGTAGCCGCACGAGGGGCCCTCGTGATGATGGTTTTAGGCAAGGTTTTGTTTTCTCTCGACCACGCCAGCATGAGTCGAACCGCCAGAGCGAGGCCTAGGAGATTTGCAAATCCTAGACTGGCAGATGAAACTGGAATTTTCTCTGTCCGATGGCCGCCCCCAGAAAGCTGGGGGGGTCCGTGGTGTGGTCTTGTCAAATGTTGAGGAGAGAGAAGGAGGAGAGGGAGGGAAGAGAAGAGGAAGAAATTTCCCATTTTGAAAAGGGAAGATTGATCGCTTCGGTACAGTCACGTGACTCTATACTTTCTGCTCTGTACTTGTACTGCTAACGTGCACACGTACATTTTTTTTCTGCAAATCGGAATACCGAATACCCTGTACCGGTAGGGAATGGGTGATAGGTGCACGCCCCACCAATCTGTCCAGTGATTACTGCTAGATCCACACCCACTATGGCCTTATAGCTGTACAGATTACCACAGTAGTACCTCCGATAATGCACGTATAGCGCTCCTCTAGTGCCATCGGCCTACAGCAATAGGGGAGCGTTACGCTGAGGACGCATGAACCTTCTTCGGTCGTCTGCCTGATTACACACGCCCCTCCTCTTCCTCTTTTTCCCAAAGACCGCCCCACCCCCGAAGAAAGTGGACATTGCCTCGTCTTTCAGGCTCCAAAAGTCTTCCCTCGCTTAATCAACTCCACCTTCATTCTTTCTCTCTCCGTCACCACGAAGCGCCCTCTCGCCTCATCTCCAGCTCACCCCCAACGCCATCCTCTCTCCCTCATTTGCAACCAGCCCTCTCGTTTTCCCAACGGCCGAAAAAAAAAGAAGAAGAAGAAGACCTACGATCCTTTCTATCTACGATATTCACCTCACCTACTCCCTCCCCGACAACGATAAAAACCCCTCCCCTCAGCGACGACTCCACACCTCTTTGTTCCCCCGAACACACACACACACAGCGACCGGCACGGAAAACAGCTGGCGCTCAGCGCAAACCAAACCTAGAAATCGCCATACGAGACAGAAAGGAAAGAAGAAGATAAAAACCAGACAGTGAATGACGTCGGACTAAGCGGAGAGCCAACGGCAGTTTGGTCGGCAGCCCCATCGGCGCGCGACGGCCGCCCTTTTTTTGTTTGGAGCGACAAACAAAGAAGAAGGGCCGTCTCTCTCTCCATCACGTCTTGTTGCATACTCTCGCCCTACCGATACCGCCGACGACGGGCACCTCTCCTGGTCATCACCATGTCGTTCCATCATCCTCACACACCACAGAGTCCCTCGCAAGTGTCACCCGCCACCACCTCGTCCGACGCCCAGACGCTGCTCAGCAGCTCCATGACGACGGCCTCGACCCTGCCTACCCCTGCCCACAGTGTCAGCGGCTCCGGCAGCCTGAACGATTCCGCCATGGCCGACGAGTCGCATAACAAGCGGAAGCGAACCCTCGAAGATGAGGGGAGCGGCGATCGTGGTCAGAAGAAGGTCCAGCTTGAGGGTCCCAGGCTGGGTATCCAAGATCTGCACCTCGACGTGGGCGCCAAGTACTTGCTCTGCCAGACCCGTAAGCCTTACCCTTCCTCCCTTCCCTATGCCCGCTCTCATCTCGGCACTCCTTTTCTCTCGAGGTTCGGAGCTGCCTGATGGCTTGTTGCTGTGGAGGAGACGCAAGAGAAGAAAGAGAAGAGAAAGAAAGGAAGAGAAGAGAAGAGGAAAGTTGCACGCAGACAGGAGACTTGTTAACACCGGGAATGTCCTTTCCTCCCCTCCCCTTGCAGCGCACCCCGAGTCATTACCGAGAATGACAGATGACCTGTATGACATGTTCGACCTCAGCGGGCTCGCGGCCGAGGTTGCCCGTGAGAAGCCCAACGGCGAGAAGAATGCTCTGCGGAAGACGTACAAGGGCCACATGAAGCGCCTAGGCGTCGCGGGCCACTTCGATGTGGTCAAGAAACCCGAAGGCACCATGTCGGAGTTCATGAGCCTAGTCAACTATCCGGACCTGGAGTGGGATGTCCAGGAGGTCAAGGGCAAGGATATCAGCGATGGACTGTCCCAGTCGACTCTCTCGCTGCTCGACAAGGCCATGACCATGTCCAAGGGTCCCATCCCCAAGGGCGTCTGGGACACGTCGGTCCTGGGTGACCTGGCACCCTCACCGGACGCGACCAAGAGGCCGACGGCAACACCGGGGACGCCCGCAGCGACTCCCAGTGCCGCCGCCGCCGCCGCTGCCAAGCCGAAATCGACGAGTCTTCCCCTCGGCCACGACCCATCGAGACCCCGCCGAAGCATCAAGAAGAGAGCCTACGGTGACAGCAGCTCCGAGGGCTACGGAGAGGGATATCCCGACGACGACGGCGAAGGAGGCTACTCGACCGGTGAAGGGGAGGGTGGTCAGAAGCGGCGCAGACAGGCAAGTGTCTCCCAAAGCCCTGCTGCCGGACCATCATCTTCTAACCAGTCACAGGCCCCTGGAAACAACACTGCGTATCCGAATGCAGTACGTCAGCAGAACTACGGACCAGGCATGGTTGGCGCATGAGCTTGACCTATATCTTCTTTTTTTTTCTTTTCTCTTCTATATATATATATATGTATATATATATACAAAATCAGGAACGGCTTCCCCCGTCCTAAAAACAGCAAAAACACGGATCGCCGTCACGGAGCCACAGAGCCGCCCACATATGTGTCCCGACCGTCACAGCCAGTTATGTATCGGAAACGAAGCGATGCCACTCGACGAGATGGATAAAAAAAATCATTTTATACGCACACTCCGCTCTACACGACTTGGCAAGACAATGGGGAGAGACACGCGACGACGGGATTTTATACCAATGGAAGATTTGACTCGGTAACTTGTACAGGATATGTTGACGATACATATGAGAAAGAGGGAGGAGCAAGGACGGATAACAACAATACAGACTTTCCCTCGAAACCAATGACTCAAGAAGGAATTCCTGTCTATTCTGTTTTTTTTTTCCGTTCTTTTTTTCCTCCACCAAAAAAAAAAAAAATTCTTGCATCTGGATATGGGGGAATGATTATACACTGTATTTCATCTCTACAACAAGCATGGCGTTTAGGAACTTGACAACTTTTTTCACCTTTTTTATTTTATTTGTTTCTCTCAGAAGGGAGGGAGGAATGGTAACGGGAAAAAGGAGAAGTGGATGAGGGGGTTGACAAGAGGAGAAATAACAGCGCATGACATGACACCTCCCCCCCTCCCCCCCCTTTTTTTTTCGAACAAATGAAGGACAACCCCCTTTTTATTCTTCCCGGGCTTTCTTTTTTTTTTTCTTTTTTTCCCCTTATTTCCCCCTCTCTGTTTTCTCTCTTTTCTTCTCATCCAAATATCCTCGTCTAACTTGATAGACCCGAGGTCAATCCTCGAGGGTTATTAGGATGATGAGAAGTCTAGCGCAAAGCTTTTAAGCTCATCCTCTTTTTTTTAATTCATTATGGCCTCTATCATTGCCTTTGTTTTTTCTCCCTTCCTTTCTCTTGCTCCCCCCACCCGATTGTTTTAGATACCTGTAGTTTGAAAATGGAACTCGGGTAGCGTGCTCGTTGCTTGTTGTCTTGTTGCTTTGTGTTGAGAGTGTGAGAGAGTGCAGAGAGTATATTATTTATACACGGACAGGTTTGTGTTCCTCGAATGTGATGTATATTGTATTATTCCGGTCTGATGTACCGTTCGGACATTGACAAAAAAAAAAGAGAGAGACAAATCTCAAGATGGATATACATCATCACATCTAACGTGGCTGTGGAAAGGATACGAGTCACGTCAAAAAACAAAAATCAAGAAAAATGGGGTTGGTTTGGAGAAGAGGTCAAGTGTGAGCACCTGATGTACCATTGATTCTTGAGTTGTGAAGAGAGAGAGAGAAAAAGAGAGGGAGAGAAGAGAGGAAAGCATGATCCTTCAAGCGCTGCTATATCGTGACATTATAGAGTATAAGCTAGAGTGGAGAACAGAGCAGGTCATTGTAATATATCTAGCGTGAGCGTGTGAGAATAATGGCACAGATCGGTAATCTCTGTACATTTATCTGCATGCATGCATGTAATAATACTTGGTGAGTGGAGAGGAGCGGTTTTGATTGGAATCAGATGCGGCCATGAAAAAAGCTTCCAGAGTGAGGAGCGAGAGTGAAGTAATACCCTAGAGTAAACGCTGGCTCTATATTACATCCATACATATACACACACACATACACATACACACACACACATACACATACACACACACACATACACACACACATATATATAAGACAAAATCAAGAAGAGGGTATTATCAAGTCAACAAACGGTACACTAAAAAAAAGAAAAAAGCCGAGTATACATATATATATTACGGATCCTGACCGAAATTCCCATTCTCAACGGTCGGATAAGCCCCACCACTGAGCTCAGCCCAGTTCCAATCCAGATTCATAGGCAGGGAGAAGAGATCGGACGGTAGGAGCGGCTGCTGCTGCCTGCGACCGTCCTGACCGTTGGCACCTCCGCCGCCGCCGTAGGGACCCAGACCACCCATGACGCCGGGGATGCTGTTCCCGTTCGCGACGTTCCCGGGGAAGCCGGCACCCGCGCCCGCGGCTGCGGTACCGCCGAAGAAGAAGTCGTCCGAGAAGGAGAGATCTGACGTCGCCGAGGTCATGGGCATGGATGAGTCCGGCGACACCAAGGCCGGGGAGTAGGATTCGGCCGTGGCGGCGGTGGGCGACGACGATACGGGACGCCTGCTGCCCTCTCCGAGGTTGCTACCGCTGCCGTTGCCGCTGTTCATCGTTCCCGGGATGGGGACGGAGAGCTTGTCGGGTCGGGAACCTGGCCGCTTTACGGATGCATCTTCAGTGGTGAGCTTGTCGTTGCTGTTGTCGTCGTCGTTGGAAGAGGAAGAAGTCTGCTGCTGCTGCTGCTGCTGCTGCTGCTGCTTCTTCTCCGCAGAGGCGGCGGCGACCTCTCCGTTATTCTTGCGCTTCCGACGTAGAGACTGGTCCTTGAGGGCCTTGTCGATCACAGACTTGGCTATGCGCTCGAATTCGGCGCACACGCCCAGCATGCGGTGGACGCCTCCCTGCTCGGCCTCCTTTCCCAGCATGGACAGGAAGGTGACGACTAGGTTGATGAGCTTTGTGTCGCTCTTGGCTCGCGGGTCGAGCGGGTTGTTGAGGATGTTGGCGAACAGCGTCATGAGTGCCGAGACGGGAAAGTAGAGTATCATCCTGGGTGTAAGGGTCAGATCGGCCAGTGGGAGAGAGAGGCAAAAGGTGATGCGATGATTTTTTTTTTT